TTGCAAGCATTGTGAGGAGACGTTAATGCTTTTTCCTCCTGCCGGGAGTCTCCTGAACAATTCTGATGGTTCACATTTCTAGGAATAAGCACAAGAATGCTGGCCGAGAAAGAAGCACTGGAGGTCGGCCAACTAAAGTTGCAAACATTGACAATAAACAAGGAAACCTCCTTAGCTATTTCACACGAGGTAAGAAATTGCATTCTAGTTTTTGTAAAGTTAATAATGTGTGTCGTTTAAATTTTTTCAGGAAAAGGAGTCTTGTCAAGCAATTCTTCTCAGAACTTCATAGCATCTCCAGATGAGTCTTCAAGTAAGTAGCATTTCATATGCTTTACATAGTGTGATTTCTTGTATAGTATAATCTGTTGTATGTTGATAGGAATTGAAAGACTTTGCTTTGGATACTGGCAAAACGATTACAAATATGGCTTGAGTTCTGTGAATGTTCGTCCTCTTCTCCAAGATGTAAAAGAGGGAGGTTGTTGGTTCTGTGATCCAAACTTCAAAGCAGCAGCAGATGGTGTTGTTGTCAACGGAACATTCAGATCAAAACAGTGTCTAAGAGTGACAAACAACATCTATGGATTCAAGAACAAGCAGTGCAAGTTTTGTATGACAATACCAGCTTGTAGTGACTTCAAAGGACGTGCTTTACGGGAAAGCAAAGCGACAATACCACAAGGACAAAGATTGAAGAGGCGTGGAATGAGACTTGACTACATGACTACAGCTGAGCACATAGATAGCAGCAGGCTAGTGCAAGCAGAGAATAGAAGGCTGGCATTGGAACTATCGACCACAAGATGCAGGATAGCAACTCTTTCAATTCATTGCTGAAGCTTAAAAGAAACTTTGAAGGAAAGTGCCATTCGTAAGGATATCAGAAAATTCAACTCTGATCTCAAACAAGCTTGGCAACAAGGCAAATTCGAGGGCAAGGAGACGGTTCTTCACGTGATGCAAGATTTGCTGCAGGGAATAACTAGGAGAAAACAAGGAATGAGGTATTTTTTTATTTATTCAAAGTTTTTTCCTTACACTCTTAGCAGGTACCATGAAACCACGAAATGGATTTTGCGAGTAACAAAAATGTGGGGGGGGAGCAGGCTTAACAACTTCCTTCACTTGAACCTTGGATTGCCAAGTTTGTCGACAACAAAGCGTGACATGAGAACAAACTTTAGATGCACAACAGGTTTGCAATCTGAGATATTTTTGAACCTTTCTAAGGTCTACAAGTTCAAGATGGAGAGTTTACAGCTCAAGCTAGGGAGTGTGCCTGTTTTGATTGCAGAAGACGAAACAGTTATTAAAAGGATGATCAGATGGATTGCTTGTGATGATGCTTTGCTCGGGTTTTGTGGAAAGAAGGGGGAGGGTCATAAGTGTGTGAACGATTTTGTCGTGAAGGTTGGGAATGGAGAAGTAGGTTATGAACAGATTACTCAGGCTTTTCTAGACAACGAGAAAGCTCACTATGCACAAGTGTTGATGGTTAATCCATTGCATAGA